GGGGCGGTACAGGCTGAATCACATAGAGATTTTGTTGCTTGTTGAGCAGCTCAGTGTCAGAGCTAAGAAAGAAGTTTACTTCCCTGTCTAGCAGTCTGGTTTACGGTCACTTTACACCCTCCAGAGATGCAAAACTCCATTTTGTCACCATCTCAGAGCCTGGTGCTGAACAGGGATGCTAGCATTAAGATTCTGGCCCAGCTGACAATGTCAGTTTTCAGGGCAGAGCGGTGGCAATGCTCTGAGGCCTCAGGACTGCCACAGCAGCACAACTGGTATTTATTTTAAGCTTCATGAGGCGAGGTGCTGTGGCTCTTCCCTTATCAGCAGGATGAGTGGATAGGAAAGAGGTGATAGATTTGCTTTCCCAATACAGTATTCCTCTGTCTGCATGTGCTTTTCTTACCCCTCCTGTTCATGCTTTACAGATTGACAGCCATTCCTTCTTCTGGAACATTGCACCTGGGGCAGAGAGCGCTGTCTCTTCTTTTGTGACCCACTTGGCTGCTGCTGAAGCCCTTCATAAAGCATCAGATGTTCATTTGCTGCAAAGGAATATAATGTTCACCTTCTTCCAAGGGGTAAGAGCCGCAGCATCGCTCCACCATTTGGCTTGTTCTAAGATAGAAAACTAGCCTTTGGCTCCCCACAAATGAACTTTTTCCCTACTCTTTGTGCGGAGTCATTTGTCTGCATCCCCACTTTGTGATTCTCTCCGCTCCCCCAGGGCTGCTCCGGGCTCTCGGTGGCGCGGAGGCCTCGCTGTCACGTCTCTCTGTGCCTCGGCAGGGCTCAGCTTCCACCCCAAGCGGCCGTGGATCCTCACCAGCCTGCACAATGGCGTCATCCAGCTGTGGGATTATCGGATGTGCACCCTTATCGACAAATTCGATGAGCACGATGGTCAGTCGGCTCAGGGGGAGGTGCTGTGGACGAAGACTGGGGTGTGAGAGGAGGAAGGGAGGCTCTGCTGAAGTTTTACTGAGGCTTCTGCTTGTTTCACTTCGGAGCCTCTCAGTTTTAGCCTGTGTTTCTTTCTGGCCACTGTTCTGGCTCTGAACATTGCTTGCACATGCATCAAGTGGGGTAGAAGCTTGAATAAACCTGTAAATAGAGATCTGAAGGGCCTGGAAGTTTTGCGATGGGTGGTTGCAGTCATTTTGCTGGAAATGGATGGGTTTGGGAATGGGATCTCAGCCTGTTAAAGTTAATTTTTGTTGTGTCTCTGAAGCTCTTAATTTGCCAAGAGCAACAGGAACGAGGAGGAGTGCAAATTGTAGTCTTTAAGTGGTACAAGGGACTGCTACGGCTGTCAGCCACCTTGCTGTGTCCAACCTGCTCTTCCTATTTGTAGGACCCGTTCGAGGTATTGATTTCCACAAACAGCAGCCTCTGTTTGTTTCTGGAGGTGACGATTACAAAATAAAGGTAAAATTGTACTCCTTGAGCTCTTGTTGTCTGAAAAGTGTCCTGTGGGGAGGAGGCATGTACAAAGAATCTGGTTAAAAGATGAGAAAGTGTTTGGGAATTTTGATTCTCCTGTTTCAGAGAGTTAACTGCAGCAAGTTGAAGTCTCTTTGTAGCTTGCATTAGAAGCGTATTTTAAAGGGGAAGAGAGAGTCTTGTAGGTGAACTGAAACGTGAGAAGGCACAAAACAATCTAGCAGGTGGTGGCACGTACTGTCATGATTCTACTTCTGTGTTGTGCAGGTCTGGAACTACAAATTGCGCCGTTGCCTCTTCACTTTGCTCGGGCACTTGGACTATATTCGCACTACCTTCTTCCACCATGTAAGCTCCTCTCGTATTACCCAGTGAGGGCTGCCTCCTCCCTTTGTGTGTGAGAGGGAATCTCTTGCTTCCCTGAATGAGGATCTTTGTTAAAGAAATTGTGCTGGACTTACTAGTGTGAGGGTGCCCCAGGTATGGTGGCAGAGGTGCAAGAGACATAAATTCCACCTTCAAGATCTTAAATGAGATTTAAAAAGGGTCGTGGGGACAGTTGGAAGATACCACGTTAGGGGAGAATGTCTGGGGTTTGGATGACTTCATATACTTTGTCTTTTTAGGAATATCCCTGGATCTTGAGTGCTTCTGATGACCAGACCATTCGGGTTTGGAACTGGCAGTCCAGAACTTGTGTTTGGTAAAATCAATGGTTGCTTTAAAAAAAAATAACTTCACGGTCTGGGTCGAGCTGTCTTCATCTGTTGTTTTCAAGCAGAAGCCTTGCTTGGTTGAAGGAATAGACCTGACAAAGATCAATTATGAATATTTTCATCAGTCTTGTCTTTTTCTTGTTTATTCTGATGCCACTAGACTCATGTGCTTAAATTCACATGTTGTTTGGTTGAAAATTTTTCGAGGTTGAAATAACACGTGTCAGTGCCAAAGCCTGTGGAGTTATCGAGAGCAGAAACCTGACCCTTGAACGCTCTCTGTAAGAACAGATATGCTCAGTGTTCAGTCACGCTAACTCCTGAGGAATAGCATTTAGCAATCCCATATCCCTCATCCTCCTTCCTGAGACCGAGCTTACCACTGTTGGTGCAAATTGGAACGTTTATTAACCTATCTTATGTTTAAATGGTATTTTTCTGTCCTTTTTGTTGTAGTGTGCTGACAGGACACAACCACTATGTGATGTGTGCCCAGTTTCACCCCTCTGAGGACCTGGTAGTGTCAGCCAGCTTGGATCAGACTGTGCGCGTTTGGGATATTTCTGGTGAGCTGCCCAGATCAAGGGGGTACCCCGTGGCAAAGCCCACTTCAAAACTGCAATTGCTGAAAGCCAAGAGAGGCAGGAAAGAGGGGTTCAGATCGGAGGGCAGGAGTAGCAGCCTGTTGACTGCAGGAACCTCAGGCAGAAAGTTAAAAATTCTCTACTGATGGGGACCTATTCCCCTCAGTTTGAAGTGGGATGCTGGGAAGAGATCTCTGGGCATCTTCTACTCCACCTTTTTACTTGAAACAAGTGTTCTGTGGCAGTAGGTGAGGTCAGCTGTAGCTTTGTGCAGCCAAAAAAACCCCCTCTGACGATGGAAATTCTGCAACCCAGTCTCCCAGTCTGATTTTGCAGCCAATATAGCAACGAATATTGCTGTCAGAAGGGAAATAACGTTGCCAGCTGATCAGCTTTGCAGCTATGCCAGACTTGTTGGAGGATTTTTAGAAATTTCTGGATCAGCTTTATCCCCTTGTAAAACTGTTGGAGGCAGCAATAAGTCATTTGTTCTGAGAGAAAGATAAAAAGGTCTCTGCTTGGATTGCAGAAAGGGTAGGGGGTTGGGTTTTGGGTGGGTTTTTTGGTTTTGGTAGCCTAGTTGGGGGTGGTGATAGGAAGATAATATTAGTAGGAATTCTTTCAGCTTTTTCACTCTGCTTGTCCGTTTCATAAAATGAAGCGTGGCTTAAAGATCAGAGCAGGAGTTGCAAGCCAAAACTCCTTTGGTTTTGATATATATTTTTTGTATACAAAATGTAACTTTGATATTTTGGCTATTTCCTAATGAACACGTAGGCCACGAGGTGCCTTAACGGAATGAAATACGATCTCTAAATGAAAAGCTAGAAATGGAGAAAATACTAGATGGAATTAAGGGACTGGTGGGAGGCAGGCGGGGGCAGTACTGGTGGTGTTATAAGATAAACTTTCTAGAGCCAGGCTTTACCCGACCTGCCGCTCTCGCCATTGCAGTTTTGGTTGGGCACGCTGCGTTATTTGTAGCACACGCTCAGACACGGCCAGCTGTGTCAACAGTAGGGGCTGGGGACAGGATATCTTGGTTATTTAAAACCTGTCCCCCTCTCTGTACTGCCAGCATGGGGAGTTTAACAGCTATTCTGCCAGGGAGCTTTGCTGCTGCATTCTCCCACAAACACTCTCTCTCAGCAGAGTTCCAGCTGCCAAATTGGTTTGGAGATAATACAGGCTTTTTTTTTTTTTTTTTTTTTTTTCCCTCAGCTGATATGTGATGAAGGGTTTTAGAGACATGCTGAATTATTGACTCAGCTGTCGCTCCAGTCAGACACGACGCTGCGAGAATACTAGTGTGGGGGAAAAAAAACCTACAGGGAGATGAGAAACGGATTCAAAATACAATTCCACTTCCCAGTTTTTCCCCCCAAAATGACTTATACCCTCAGCAGGATTCTGCTTCTAGCAGTCTCCTGGGAAGGGTTATTTCCCCATTTTATCTGATGTCTGTAGTGTACATAATCCTGGTCACAGAGAGCATGGTTTGGTGGTGAGCTTCAACTCCCATTTCTGAGTGCTGCTGTTAACTTGCAGCTTCTGCTGACATGGGTGGGAATTTTTTTCAGCAGGTTTTGGGATTATGAGCACCGGTTCTTTGATGACCTCTGTTAAATGAGTTTAAAGGTCACATTCTAAAAGCCTCCTCCCAAAACCGGTGCCCTCAGCAGAGTGTGAGACCTGGGCTGGGCACCAGAATGTGGATTTGAATTCCCATATGGGTAAGGCTCCTTGGTTTGAAACCTGCTGATAAAGGACCTTCAATGCAAACCAAATACGCTCAGAGTGAAAGGATTTGTTTCCTGCTGCTCTCCTGAGAGAGACTGTGTGAATGCAGTCAGAATAAGCTTGTTTATAGACATTACACTGCATGAATGTTTGTGTTGTGTTATTCACCCGTGCTGTGGAATGAAGTCCTTGCTCGTGATGCTGATATTAACCTGCAGAAACTACGAAATAATCTGTTTTTCTCTCTCTCTTTCTAAGTATTAACCCCCTGAGGAGTGTGTAGGTGGTCTTACGCTGATCACAGCTCTTTTGTGTGTGCTCTAACATCACACACCGACTCCTGTTTAACCTTACTCGTGGTTGGCAAATGTCTGATGCTTGGCAGGAAACTTCCTTATTCTGTCAGGGCTCTGTTTAGTCGGTCTGGGTGACCAGCTTACATGAGGATTACCTGAGGGTTTGGCCTGGCAGCATTGAGGAGCCCTGGGACTTGAGCTGAGCCTCTGTAGGCCTGGACTGCCCCTCCCTGAGCACCCTCGGTGGGGGTGTGGTGCTGGCTGGCAAAGCCCTTGGTACCACTTCAGCCTCCCTTGCGCTTCTCTAATTGCCCTCTGGCTGGGTTACAGGGAGGAACCTCAGCCCAGAACAAAAGCCTGTACCCAAGAGCCCTCTTTAGTTTCCACTGAAGAAGAGACGAGAGCAAAAGAATTTGCAAAGGACCATGTGTCTTCTTCCTTCTTTCCTAACTCACAACTTGTTGTTCACAGGTAGCATGTTGCCCCTTTACTCCGGATATTTTAATACCTGTCCTGAGTGCTCGTGTGCATGTGGAGCTGAGTCTCCTTTTCAGGTTTTTTTTTAACAGCTCTCCTCAGAATGCCTAATAGCTGCCTTTCTGCTACGAGTCCCTTCTCTGTCCCTGCTCCCTCCCCAGAGCAACACAGGAGGCTGGAGTGTTCTGTGAGTGTCCTGCCTTTCCTCTCGATTTGTGCAGTTACGCCAGAAATTTTCCACTTGTGTCCCAGTCCTGTTTCACTGGCTTGTCAAAGGCTCAAGTATTTTCTCTTCCAAAAGTCTTGTGTTTCTTCACACATCTTTTCCTGGATTATGTATGTTTAATTCCTCCTTTCTGGGGTACTTTGTGTCAGCCTTGTAGAAGTTTCTACTCAGCCATTCCAGTCCTCCACCATTACCTGGACCATCTGTATGTCTGCTGAGCATTTGTGCTTTGCTCCGAGACACTGCTTAACTTGTTGGTTTATTAGACTAACTTTGCCAGAGAGGTTGTTGAGATGCTGAGTTGTTAATCCACGAGGAGATCGAGAATCAGCATTGCAACAAGAAAATAATAATTTTTGACTTCAGTATTACTTTCTTCTTAAAATTCCCTCTTTGTTGGCATCCATACCTGTGCAATTCTGCTTTTATCCTAGACAGGTTTGTGTTTTTTGTTTTTTTTTTTAATCCTTGATAAATTTTGTGATAGCATCCTTGGGCCAAGTACTATGAAGTAGAAAAGCATATTTTAAGAGTTATGTCTTAGAGTGTTACATGTACAGTCTTTTCCCTGTGCACTGTTGAAGGAGAAGCCCTTTTTGATTCTTGGTTTCCCTACTGGGTTCTGTTGGGTTTTAATGAAGGATGACAAGATATGGGTCTAACATGGATGGCTTAGTTTTCTTCAGAATTAGGAACAAGCTTTATTTCATATAATTCTAGCTTCTGAAAGTATTTTGTTTCCAGGCAGATTGTCCAAATCCATGACCAAGCAGTCACCCAAGTGGCATGGGGGAAGGTCCCCTGAAAGGTGCAAGCTCAGACTAGCAAAGGGGTGAGCGGGGCAGAAATTGGGGTGTGTCAGTCCTTCTTTGCTGGGGTGCTGCTTGTCCCAGTGAGCTGAGGTGATCCTTCTGCGTACAGACTTCCCTTGTGGTATGTCTGATGTGAGCTCGTGCTTTTGGAGGAAGTGGAAGGGAGTCCTGGATGTCTCTCACCCTCTTTCAAGTTCCCAGTTTCCACCTGAAGATATGTGTAAACAGCACAGGAGAGCTCTCAGCTTGTTCAATCTGAAACACTGCCTTGATAATAGAATCTTTGCTTCCTCCTCCCCCGCTTCTCCTTCCTCTTTGTTTCACAAGGTCTAAGGAAGAAGAACCTGTCCCCTGGAGCTGTGGAATCGGATGTCAGGGGAATCACGGGGGTGGATTTGTTTGGGACAACAGATGCCGTTGTGAAGCACGTTCTTGAGGTACAGTGTCAACGTGCGCGTGCACTACAGGCTTTTCAGATTTATTTAATGAAATCTGTGTGAGACAAACGAACTTCTGAAAACTCAGAAAAACAGCAGAGAGCGGGGAAAAAAAAAAAAAGCTGAAACACCTGGCTCAGCTCTGTAGAGTTAATGCTCATGGAGATTATGGCATTACTTTTTTCTGAGTTTCAGATCTGAAATCTGGAGGTGTTTGCACCGTAACCAAACAGATAACGGTTTTCTCTGTACAGCCAGAAGCTCGGTTAAATAGCAGATGTTATTACCTTGTGTTACTGGAAGCGACAGAGGAGATTGTGGTAGAGACAGCCTTCTGTAACGGCTTGTTAAAGCTTGGAAGTGGTGCTGCTCTGCTGCCGAGCTTCAGCTTTGCTCTACTGGTGAAGAACAGTATCTGCAAAGCTTATTATTGCGGGCATCTATAATCTTACTGTCTGTAAGCGCTCGCCATGAGCAGCATGGAGGATAAAACCAGCGAGAGCTGTGTCTTGGCAAGCCTGCCCACAGTCTTTGTTGCTTCGTCCCTCCTTTGCTCGTTCCGTTTAGTCACCAAATTGTGTGGAGTGACTGTTTTCTTTTTTGCCTGCAGGGCCACGATCGGGGGGTGAACTGGGCTGCCTTCCACCCCACGATGCCGCTCATCGTGTCAGGAGCTGACGACCGGCAAGTGAAGATCTGGCGGATGAATGGTGAGAGGATTCTCCTGGGAACAGCCCAGGGGGAGAAGGGGGTTGAGAGTTGAGATTTATGTTTGAACATCTGTAGGCTGAACCCGGAGGTAATTTATGCTTTGCAAACGTGTCTGTATGATACAGTGGTAAGTGATCCCAAACAGCATTGGCTTTTGCAGTTTGAGGGGGGCTCAGTTCTCTACCAAACACTTCCAGCTTCTTTACATTTGCTGAGCAGAAGCTTGCAGAAGTAGAAAAACTTGACTCTGAAATTTCTTGACTATGCCCTGATGGAATAATAAGAGATGATTCGAGAGCCAGAAGCCGTCCATCAGGAACGGTTATGCTTTTGCCAGCTCAGGCCAGCTAAACTCTGTACAATTCTTAGCACCTCTTGAGTAATCTGGCTTGCCTGTTTCTCTTAGGTGAGCTGTGCTAGTGGTTAGAGAGAGAGATCAGAAATGTGAACTGCAGAGAATGGTCTAGTCACTAGTGGCCGATGCAATTTGCTTTATAATAAAGCGCCTGCTGTAGCAGAGCTTAACCAGTTTAAGCATTATTTTCCTCGTTCTTTTCCACTTCTGGTTAGAATCGAAGGCCTGGGAGGTTGACACTTGCCGGGGGCATTACAACAACGTCTCGTGTGCTGTCTTTCACCCACGGCAGGAGCTAATCCTCAGCAATTCCGAAGACAAGAGCATCCGTGTCTGGGATATGTCGAAACGGTTAGTGCTTCTCAAGCATCTGACTCAGTCTTGTGATGAAAGTTTTTTACACGTGTGAAAGACCTAACGTTTATTCGTAGGGAAACTGAACACAAGCAGTTCTTAAACCGTCGTTGCTAACGTTTGATAATTCATGAGTGAGGAGTCGTGTTTTTCACATTCTCTACCCCTTTGAGATGCACGTTGAGAGCAAGGCTTGGAGTTGTCTGAAAGCGAGTGGAAGAGGGCTGACTTGTCTAGTGATAGCGCTGCTGAAAATACATTAAATGAGAATATATTATTTGACAGAAGGCTTTGAAAGCACTGCTTGAACTCTCAGTGGACTCCTCGTGCTGAATGCTGATCTGTATGGCGACGCTTAGGATGTTCATTTTGGGAGCTGAAGTTTACAGCAAGGTTTCCATTTGGTTTATATTCCTTATTCCTTCTGTTGCCCATTCAGCACTGGTGTCCAGACTTTTCGGCGTGATCATGATCGCTTTTGGGTATTGGCTGCTCATCCCAACCTCAACCTTTTTGCTGCAGGTAAAAAAAAAGCTCCTACTCAGTGTCCATACGGGGTTTGCTTTTCTTTAGCATGCTTTGCAGAAACACACTGACTTGCAGATGCTTTTATTAAATGTATCGCAGGGAAAAGATCCTTCTTTAGTGGAACGCAGTCTCATTGTGTCAGCTGTAGTTCAAAGCTAGAAGAAGATGACCTCTGCGTTAACGAGCTAAAGGCTAAGAAGGGATGGGACAGATCCTAGGGGAACGCACGCTGGACTGTGAACTTGAAAAAAATGTGTGACAGTGAGGCAGAATGTTTCTAGAAGAATGTCAGATCTTAGATTAGGAAACCTAAAGGAGGGTGAGCCCTTAGGAAAGAAGTGACATCGCTGAATTCACACAGGCTGAGGAGTAGCAGAGGGGGCTGGCAGTCCTTGGTTGTGATTTTTGTTGGCCCTTTCTCGGTTTGAAAGGGCTTTTGGTAGCGTCACCTTCACAACGAGGCAAACCACAGGATTTAATTCGCGCGTTTGACTTCTCACGTGTCTTCCCTCAGGCCACGATGGGGGAATGATTGTGTTCAAACTGGAGCGTGAGCGCCCCGCTTACGCTGTGCACGGGAACATGCTCTATTACGTGAAGGACCGTTTCCTCCGCCAGCTTGATTTCAACAGTTCAAAAGATGTTGCTGTCATGCAGCTGAGAAGGTAGGAGGCAGGGGCTCGGCACGTTACAAGAGGTGTTGCCAGTATCTTGAATCCCTTATTAGTTTCTCACTTACAGATAGTTCGTATTATTGTATTCACATACCTCAGTTTCCACTGACTCTTCTGTCAGGTGACCTCACCAAACCTACAAGAAGTTTTTGAGGTCAGTTTTTATCTGGGCGCAGATATAATTTCTTTTTTTAACTAGTTTTAAGTTTCAAACTGAAATTTGACTCGTTTGTGAAACGCTGATGTTCTTACAGTGTTTCCGAGTGGTCTTGATTCAGGAAATTCATCAAAACTGAGCTTTTCTGGTACTCGGCATATCTCAGAAAATGAAGAGCGTTTTATCGTAAGGTGACTTTGGGAGAAATAACCGCTCTCACTTTCTCTTTTCTTCATGACTCTTCTCCAGTGGTTCCAAGTTCCCTGTGTTCAACATGTCATACAACCCCGCGGAGAACGCCGTCCTTCTCTGCACAGTAAGTTTTGCTGCATAAGGTGCTAAAGAACTTCCCACCAGGCTGGGGATATTTGTTCTGTGAAATCCTATCTCAAAATGGATTTTTTTTCCCCCCTTCTCTGCAGAGAGCCAGCAACTTGGAGAACAGTACTTATGACCTGTACACCATTCCCAAGGATGCAGACTCCCAGAATCCGGATGGTAGGCATTTCTTATTTCACATTAATCCCCGTGAGTGTTTATTACTGTGTAGCTGTCCCCTCCCCTGCTCTCCGACTCTGTGTGTGTGTGTGTGTGTGTGTGTGTGTGTGTGATATATAAAAAAAAGCTTCATTTCTCTAAGCCTCTCTCGTTGGACTCTTTCTCCGTGTTTCCCAGTGCCCCTGCAGCACACATCATTTGGCAGGCTTCCTGCTCACTATATCACACTACACTGACTTGAAAAATTCATGTTCATCCCAAACTTTTACTGCTACAAATATATATTTTATAATTTTGTTATTAGGAACTTTCCGTTTTCCCTTTCAACGCAGCAGGCAGCCTTCCTGGCTTGTCAACAGAGATGGATTTTAACCAGATATATTTTGTTCTAAGAGGTTTTATCCTCTGAAAAGTGGCTGTAAAAGTGACAGTGCCAGGGTGCCAGTAGTCATTCTTCCTCTCGGCAAATTCCAGATCAGTTTTGTGCAATTTACAAGTAAAAACGTGATTTAGGGGGAAAAAAAAAACAACATCCCACCTCTTTCTCCTAACTATGAATTCCATTTGGGATCTGAAACTCCAGCTGGTTCCTCCTGCCTCTGTCGTCACGGCAGTAAAGAGTTTGAAACGAGTGGGAGTGATGAATGAGTTGGTCTGGAATCCAGCTCACTTGTTCATAGATTTATTGATTTCTGTGGGCCTAATGAAGGGAGGATTTTTTTTTTTTTTGCTGAGTGTAGTCAGCAGGTGTATTTGAGAAGAAAAAGAGAAAGGGAGGTTTAGATTAAATGTTACTGAGACGTTCAAAGCTGACTTGTCTGGGGACAGCCAGCTTGTGACCCTTTAAATGGGGAAAGGCATTATTCTTCGAGATGAAGAAATGTCTGGGTCTTGTGAAAACCACGCACTTTTAATACATATTCAAGAACAGCATAAAATTCTACTGATTTATAGGTATCTTCAACAAGCTGCTATAAACTCAACCGATGATCTCCCAGGGCTGTGATGTAGGTATTTAACATGTGCCTTGGGGTTGTCATCCTCATGTCCTTCAGCTTATTTACCTGACCTACAAGGGAATCTAAGCTTTCTTATCACGCTTTAACAGTCTTCTGGGTAATAGATTTCAATCTTTTTTCTGCCTGATCTACAGTCAGCGTTAAAGACTTAAAGCCAGTAAAAAGGCTGAGTTGTGAAGATGCAGGGAAAAGGGTGAAGTTGCCATCAGGAAACCCCAAGCGGAGCTGGGAATTGAATTGAAATCAGACAAGTCTTCCTCGGGCCGGGTAGTAAATGAGGGGTGAGGTGGTCAGGTTTAAGTTGTTGGTTGTTAGGGTATAAATCTGCCACAGACGCTTGGTGAAACAGCACGCGAGTCCCCAGAACCACTCGTGTCGAGGAGCGGGGCTGGTGAGAAAAGGGGCTGAGGACTAAAGAAAATTTTAATTTACCAAAGCAGCAGCAGCTCTCGCTTTTCCCATCCACTGCTGCAGAAAGCCTTCCCCGCAGCAGGTCCGTGTCCTGCAGTACTGTTCTCTCTGCCACGCAGAGCTGAGCTTGTATTAGCATTTTAAAATGGGGAGAACAGCTGCGTGCTGGGGAGAGTGCAGCCTCTCTCCTCCAGCTCGTTATATCAGTTTGCAGGGGGGCGGGAGAGAGCTGGGGGGGGGCTTACACTGGAGCTGGGACCCTCGCTGCTGCCTTCGTTTGGCCGGCCAGGCTCTGCTCGTTAGCTTGACAGACGGTGCTGTCGCCTGCGATGGCCTTTTCCGCGCCAGGCAGAGGCGCTGGCGGGGCCACCAGCCACTTGTCTTGTGCCTTGGCTGGAGAGAAGGGCTGGCGCTGGCCACGCCGAGATCCAAAAGGACATGGAGGGGAGGAAACGAGTCTTGTGAATAGCCTCAGGTTAAACATGAATTAGTAGGAAGCAGCTACAACAGCCAAAACGGGATCAAACAAGACTGGCTAATGTGTTGCCGGAAGAGCCTGCCAGAGGTTTTATTCACTGCCTGTGTTTTGCTCTCCCTAGCCCCTGAAGGGAAACGTTCCTCTGGGCTAACAGCTGTGTGGGTAGCTCGTAACCGCTTTGCAGTCCTGGATCGAATGCATTCGGTAAGGGGGACAAGCTTAATAGGGTCATCTTTTTAACAGGGGACGGCGTCGTTTGGAAGCGTGCAGATGGGAAGCGGGAGGTTGGGTTACCGGAATTATTGGAGAGCTGAGTAGACTGGCAGAGCGCTGTCGGTAGAGAGTGGGCTGCAGACATGCACAAAGGAATATAATACAGCGCAAATGTAACGAGTTGAAATATTATTTAACTTCTTTGATGGTAAATCTTAGCTCAGTTGTTGGAAGCTTGCTGCAGCAGGTGAGTTCAGGCGTGAAGGCTCACCAGAGCGGTACTGTGAAGCCCAGGTCACTTTCAGAGCGCAAAAGTAATGGGGAAATGGGGAAAATACAAGTTAGATTTTTAATAAAGCTCTTTGTTCTCGCTTGTGGAGTGCAATAGGAGAAAGAAGGGGGAAAGACAATCATGGAAAGTTTTCCCTGCTGGAATGTACTTGATGTGAAGGGGAAGAGAAATCTTGCTCTTTGCCCCGTGCAGAGTATTGTATGTTTTTCTTCTTTTTTTTTTCCCAAATTTTTTTTTAAATTCAGGGTGTTTTTTGACTTAGCAAATTCAAGTTTAGTTCATGCCTATTCTGTTACTTCTCCCTGCCTTCCCCTTCTCCACTTGCCACTCTCCCCTTCTAGCTTTCTCATTTCCTTTTTCTACCTACGCTGGGTTCTCTCTCACTTTTCTCTGATTGACTTTGTTCATACACTCGTTGTAGAGAGGGCTGGCAAACTGTATCCGCCAGCTAGTAATGACAGCAGTGGGGCAGAAAAGAAAGGGTACGCTGGTTCTGCACCCTGGCAAACTTGTGGTTGGGTTTTCTGGCAGCATAAAGTCTGATCCTGCTTTGAGAAAGGCTGCAGCTCTTTATTTTGGCCTCTTGTCGCTGAGGTTCAGCTGTACAAAAATTCTGAGTTAAAATAATGCTAAATTTCTTTGTGGAATCTACCTGTCCCATGCTGTTACGTTTCCTCTCGTCACGTGGCAGATCCTAATCAAAAACCTGAAGAATGAGATCACGAAGAAGGTGCAGGTGCCAAATTGTGATGAGATTTTCTACGCTGGCACAGGGAACCTGTTACTACGAGATACAGACTCCATCACCCTCTTTGACGTGCAGCAGAAGCGGTAAGATCCAGTCTGCAGGGAGAAGTTTTCATATTGTAATCCTGCTGGCGTGTGCCCTCTGGGGACAAGTAACAGCTATTAATGCACTTCAGAATTTAGCATCAGCTGCAGGCTGCGTCAGACCGATCCAAACCACGGCTAACAACTGTTAGGAAGAGCAGAGTGTAAACATAGCCAAGGTGCAATTTATGCTGCAGGCATCGTGCCATCGATCACAGGGAGATATGTGCCATACCCCTGTAAATCCTGTGACTACAGAATGGGGTGCTGTAAAAGCGGAGAGAAATCCAAAAACCCAGACTCAGTCAAGCTGAGCTTGCCTGATGACTTATCCCTTGGGTTTTAGATCTGCTCGAAGTGCTCTTTTGGCAGCATGCTTGTGGTATACGTGTTGCTAGCCACAAAGAAATGGGCAAGGAGTTGGTGCTTTTGGCTATCTTTGAAGGCTTGAGAAGGTTCTGGATTATCTGCAGATAGATATGGTGTATGTTGATAGCTTATGTCCCAGAACTTGCCTTGTTTCCTTCCTTGTACACTTTTGTCTTTCTAGTGTTGCTGGGAAAGTTGTAAATAACTTAAGCAATGTGAATGCTGCTTGGAAATACCTCCTTTCCCTCCTTCTGTTAAATCTGTCCCTCAGAAATGTAGGTTTTGAAGTCAGTTGTCACTCAAAGATATTTGTTACTGCATAGGTATGGAGAGAGGTCGGTTTTGCTGCACTGGACTGCAGAAACACTCCGTTCTGCCTCATGATTTTACAGCCCCAGAACGGCAAAAAGGGGCTTGAGCACTTGCAAATTGGGTACAGGCTGTTGGGTGCTGGTTGTTCCCATCCAGAGATTGCTGTGGAGGGGTGGTGTTCAGCTCTCTGATGTCAGTGCTGTCCTTTTTCCAGAACTCTGGCCTCGGTGAAGATCTCCAAGGTGAAATATGTCATCTGGTCAGCTGACATGTCCCACGTAGCTCTGCTGGCTAAGCACGGTAAGTGGCGGGTGGGCGCGGTGTTTCACCTGGACTCCAGTGCACACCAGCTCCCTCCTGGCTTGGGAGCAGAGTCCCTGCTAGCCCGGCTGGCCAGAGAAACTGCTCGGTGCCACGGCTGGCAGTGAAGGTGCAGCTGAGGACGTTCACAGTGTGGGCCCTGTCATGTTGTCTCTTCAGCGAAACCCTTCCACAGGCTTGTAAAACCGAGGGCTTCTTGTACTCTTCAGAACAATCCTTGCACCTTGATAACTGGGTTCAGTTTGGGGGCCCTCACCCCAAAAAGGCCATTGAATGATTCGAGCGTGGCCAGAGAAGGGCAGCGGAGCTGGGGCAGGGTCTGGAGCACAGGTCTGCTGGGGAGCGGCTGGGGGAACTGGGGGGGTTCAGTCTGGAGAAGAGGAGGCTGAGGGGAGACCTCCTGGCCCTCTGCAACTCCCTGCCAGGAGGGGGCAGAGAGGGGGGATGAGTCTCTGCAGCCAAGGCCCCAGCGCCAGGCCCCGAGGGAATGGCCTCAAGCTGCCCAGGGCAGGGTCAGGCTGGCTCTGAGGAAGGATTTCTGTGCAGAAGGGGCTGTTGGGCGTTGGAATGGGCTGCCCAGGGCAGGCGGGGGAGTCCCCGGGATCCCTGGAGGGGTTGAAGAGTCGGGCTGAGCCAGCGCTGAGGGATCTGGGGGAGTTGGGAAGGGTCAGAGGGAGGGTCATGGTTGGGCTGGAGGAGCTTCAGGGGCTTTTCCAACCCAGATGATTCTGTGATTCTCTCTGCAGGTGCTGCACATGGTGAGGAATGCCAAGCTTGTGGGCCAGTCCATCATTGCCTACCTGCAGAAAAAGGGCTACCCAGAGGTGGCCCTGCACTTCGTCAAGGACGAGAAGACCCGTTTCAGCCTGGCACTGGAGTGTGGCAACATCGAGGTGAGGTGGCAGGTGGTGCTGTGGGAAAGGCACGTCCTCTGGGGCATCGCTTACAAACCTTTTCTCTGCGAGGAGGAGGAGTATGGGGAAGAATGGAGAATTAGTTGAGAACGGTAGAGCTGAGGATGACAACAGCCCTACCAAGGTGCAGGCCCTCAGCTGGGGGAATGATTTAGTGCAGTGATCTTTTCAATCCCACGCTTTCCTTCACGGGCATTGATATTAACTGCAGAGAAAACTGCTTTCTGCCAAGTCTTTCTAACCATGTCTATTCCCTTGTTAGATTGCTCTGGAAGCAGCTAAAGCTCTGGATGACAAGAATTGCTGGGAGAAACTGGGAGAAGTGGCATTGCTGCAGGGAAATCACCAGATTGTGGAGATGTGCTACCAACGCACCAAGAACTTCGATAGGCTCTCCTTCCTCTACCTCATCACTGGCAACCTGGAGAAGCTTCGGAAAATGATGAAAATCGGTGAGTGGTGAAGCAGAAAGAGTTGGGAGGATCCAAGTGTCGTTCCCAGAGGGAATGTGCAGCATCACAGTAGAGGCCAAGAGCTGCCAAGTTATCGTGATTTTTTTTTTTCCTTTTGATTTAGCTGAGATCCGTAAAGATATGAGTGGCCACTACCAGAATGCCTTGTATCTAGGAGACGTGGCGGAGAGAGTGAGGATCCTGAAGAACTGTGGGCAAAGTGAGTAATATCAGACTGACGTGTGTCCCTGTGGGCTGCGGAGAAGCTGGGGAGGTTGTTGGGATGAACAGTGAGTTTTGGAGGCAGATCAGTGTAATCCCTTCCCTGAGAAACTGAATCAGGTAAGCAGAAAGGAACCCGAGAGCTAGAATCCCATCCAGGAGACAAGAATCAACTCTAGAGCTTATTCAAACAGTCAGTTGTTGACTGCAAGTTTTAAACCTAATGAAAGCCCTAAAGGTGTGATTCTACGCCCTGGTATGGTGCTAATCTTCCCTTTGTGACTGTGGCTGCGGGTGCTGGTGATGTTTTCCTGCAGGAAAACAGAGAAACACGCTCTCATGTTCATTATATCTCACTGCAGAGTCCCTGGCCTATCTCACAGCTGCAACTCACGGTCTGGATGAGGAAGCTGAAAGCCTGAAGGAAACGTTCGATCCTGAAAAGGAAACGGTTAGCAAACTGACCTAATGGTTCCTGCTTCAAGAGCACCAGAGTTTGGGAGGGAGGTGGCAGTGGCAGCAACTTTCTGGGCGGGAGGAACCCTCTCCATTCCCGTCACCTCTTACCAGGATGGCAACTCTGCTGCTTGGAGGTGGGTAGGTCAAAGAATTGGATTTTCCTGATGTGGCCTTGAACTCTTTCCTTCTCCTCTCTGCTCAGATTCCAGACATTGACCACAACGCAAAGCTGCTGCAGCCTCCTGCTCCTGTCATGCCTCTGGATACCAACTGGCCGTTGCTGACTGTCTCCAAGGGTTTCTTCGAAGGAACGATTACTAGCAAAGGTATTGCTTTGTACTTGGAAAGCTGCGTTAACCCTGGCCGTGCAGAGTGCAGCTATTTGTCTCCGTGGCTCCTGAACGGTTGCTGTTAACCACAGATTTGTGTGTTACTAGCAGAGGTTGAAATCCAGCTTGGCTTTTATGCCATCTTTGGCAAATCCCTCAAATCTTTGGCCTTTTGGCACAAGGTGGGACTTGACAGTTGGAAGGGAGGGTGCTGGCCTAACGTAATTCTTTGCTTAACACCTCGCCCACTCAGTGATGAGTAAATGAAGGATCCTACCCCTTTCTGTAGGCAAAGGAGGTGCCTTGGCTGCTGATATTGATATCGACACAGTTGGCACTGAAGGCTGGGGAGAAGATGCAGAGTTGCAGCTGGATGAAGGTGGGTGAATCCCAGAGTTTTTCTTGCGGAAGTGTAAGTGTGTGCCTGCGTAAGAGCTCTGACTGTTTCCCCCCTGCCCCCTCCCTGCAGATGGCTTTGTGGATGCTGGAGAGGGCTTTGGAGAGGAAGGTCTGGGTAAAGGACAGGAAGAAGGAGGTGGATGGGAAGTCGAAGAAGATTTGGATCTTCCCCCTGAACTGGTAGGAGGCTTCCAGGAGGCTTCTTAAGTAGCCCAGCTGTAGTTACTTGGGAAGGCAATGACAGCTTGTAGTGGTAGGGGAAGCATGTGCTGGGCTTCTTCGGAGACTTGGCCATCCCAGCTGTGGCCAGCACTGATTTCATCTGGGTGCTGGAAGCTTCCACACTAATCCCAGCTCTGTGTGTTCCCCCAGGACGTTCCTGCTGGCCCAGCAGGAACAGCAGAGGATGGATTCTTCGTGCCACCCACCAAGGGCACCAGCCCAGCTCAGGTAGTGGCACAAACCTTTGATTGTCTTTCTCAAACTTTCTACTTCGGTGCTTTGGTTTTTGGGTTTGGTCCTTGTTAACCCTCGTCTGTGAGCACGACACAGGAGCTTTGTCAAGGGGAGTTAGGGGTGATGAGGGTAGGTGAGACAAACGTGTGCGTGTACATGATTCCTCTTGTATATGTTTCCCTTCTGTTCTTGTAGGTGTGGTGTAACAATTCTCAGCTTCCTGTGGACCACATTCTGGCAGGCTCCTTTGAGACAGCAATGAGAGTAAGTTTCCCCTGGAGTTCCTCGGGGAAAGATTGTGCCCTTGTCCCCCTCCACCATGTATCTTTGTCTCTGATCCAGTCTGAAGCTTTGCTTTGTGTCCATTTTGGACATTGTTCTCTCTGGCTATAAAACAAGAAGTGCTGTGAGCCTGAGTGATGTCTGTGCAGCCTTTGTACAACCCTGGACAACTTTTACTCAGCAGATCAATGTGTCTCTTTCAGCTCCTCCATGACCAGGTAGGAGTAACAAACTTTGGACCCTACAAGCAGCTGTTCCTGCAGACCTATGCCCGTGGCCGTACGACCTACCAAGCGCTGCCATCTCTCCCCACCATGTATGGATACCCACATCGTAACTGGTGAGTGATGGTGTTAGCTCTGTGCTCCTTCCCTTGGGCCGCGCACTGCCCAGACTCCTTGGCACTTGCAGCTAGAAGTATCTCTGTTGTGAAGGGAGGAACCTTCCTGTTTGCTGGAAGCAAAACCAAGGAGCGTTCTGTCTGTAATGGGGTTTTTCTGCTGCCTACTGTTAGATGTAAAGATGTTAAAGAACTGCTTTCATTTTTTATTTTTTTTTTAAAGACTAAAATCAGGGTGAGGCAGGAAACAGAAGCACAAGTTGCTGTTACCTGGAAGCAGAAGAGTCTCACTACAGCATTCCTGGGTCGGGGAGAGATGCTATGTTTTCTAGTGCTAATGCTCTGCCTCTGACAAAGCTGGTCTGAGGCATCTAGAGAACACAGGTGTGTTTTTTACAGTGGTGCCTGGAAGCCACTGTAAAAAAAAAAAAAAAAAAAAAAAAAAAAAAGAGCCAGACTTCCCAGCCTGTGCTACTGCAGAGCAAGCTGGGCCTTGTGGGTGGCAGAATTAGAGAAAGTCAGATGTCTTTTGTGCTAAGCTAATGTCAAAGAAAACCAGCGTGGCCAAACGATTTCAAAAGGTCATTTTCAAAGGTCAAAAGATTTCTGACGAGTTGCAGTCGAGCTGACAGCGTGTGTGTTCCTGCTGGCCTCTGCAGTGGTCCTCTTTGGAGTCCCCCCCGGCCCCTCTTTGGAGCCACCCAACCCCTCTTTGTTGCCCCCAGGAAAGAAGCTGGTTTGAAGAACGCCCTCCCTGCCGTTGGACTGAAACTCAACGACCTGATCCAGCGCCTGCAGCTGTGCTACCAGCTCACCACCGCTGGCAAGTTCGAGGAGGCCGTGGAGAAGTTCCGCTCCATCTTGCTCAGCGTGCCCTTGCTGGTGGTGGACAACAAGCAGGAGATCGCTGAGGTGAGAGGCAGGCTCTGTTCCCTGCAGGCCCGTGGGGCAGGAGGCCCAATGCCTGACTCTTGTCTCCCTCTCTGACAGGCCCAGCAGCTCATAGCCATTTGCCGGGAGTATATTGTGGGACTCTCGATGGAGATCGAGCGGAAGAAGCTGCCCAAAGAGACCCTGGAGCAGCAGAAGCGAATCTGTGAGGTACAGAAACTCTGTGAATTCCTTCACTGTGAAGGAGATGAGGGGGAAAATAGCCTTTGGCTTTAAAAAGGCATTTGGGACTCTTGAATTCTGCCATTTCCTCCTTCCAAGCAGATGTGGCATTGGGATTTGTTTATTTTATTTTTAAAAATTAAAAAAAATTAATTTTTTTATTACCTGGGAGGGCTTTCTTGCAGCATTTTCAGTTCTCCCCGTGTGTGGCAGTGACTGTGTCCCTCCTTCTCCCTACTGCAGATGGCTGCCTATTTCACCCACTCCAACCTGCAGCCCGTCCACATGATCTTGGTGCTGCGTACTGCTCTCAACCTCTTTTTCAAACTCAAAAACTTCAAGACAGCTGCTACTTTTGCCCGTCGGCTGCTGGAACTGGGTCCAAAGCCTGAGGTGGCCCAGCAGGTACGTCTGTGAGGTGCAGGGTGGGGGCTACCTGCTGTGGGCAGACCCCCTTTGGCCTGTTCCCTAGCTGCCCCTCGACGTGGCTGCTTTTTTGCAGACTCGCAAGATCTTGTCAGCCTGTGAGAAGAATCCCACAGACACCTACCAGCTCAACTATGACATGCACAACCCCTTTGACATCTGCGCTGCCTCTTACCGACCCATTTATCGTGGCAAACCCGTGGAGAAGTGTCCGCTCAGCGGCGCCTGCTACTGCCCTGAGTTCCACGGGCAGATCTGCCGTGTCACTACGGTAAGGGAGGCTCTATCTGTAACCCCCCCGCTCCTCACCTGTGATGTTCCCCTTGAGAATCCCCTCCAGCAGCTTCCCCCGTGCTTGCCCCTAACTTAGCACAGGTTTTGGGTCAAGCTGAGTGTTGGAGGACTTGGCATGTGAGGTGGAAGGGTGGGGGAGTTGTGAAATATTGTGGAGTTTAAACGCTGCCTTCAGGGACCGACAGGCAGCGTGTGTTCTAGAGAACCTTCTAGGCGCCGAACGCTGCCTGCGGGGTTGGGCTGTCGAGTTGTTCCAAGCGTTAATCATCTCCCTTTTATTCCTCAGGTGACGGAGATCGGCAAAGATGTCATCGGGCTGCGCATCAGCCCCCTCCAGTTCCGTTAGGGCACCCTGCCCCGGGGGGGTGTGAGATGGGAGGGAAACGGGCCCGTTTCACAGCCCAGGCTCGAACCTTGCGCCTCCCACCATTCCAGCTGTTAGTCTGTAGTCCCTTCACCGTAGCTGTGCCTGTGCGGTGTCTCGCCTGCTCTTCCCCACCCAGGAATGCTGTGGTGAGACTCTTCTGCTTCCAAGTAGCAGCAACTTGTGCTTTTCTTTCCTGATCCAACTGATGGGAAGTTTCTCTGGGCCGTTGTCTCAAGGCAGATCTTTTCCAGAGGGCAAAGGGTGGCTCTTGCCGAGCCCTGGTGACCACACAGTTCGTTCAGGAGAAAACTCCTTGAGCTGCCTCTTCCATCCTTCAGCGCTGGGCTCCTGAGAGAAGAGCCCTGAGCCCCTCCTGCATCCTGGGCAGCAAGAAGAGCCGTGCCTGGCTCTGGCAGGAACGTCGCCCTGTCTGGCTGCGGGGCCAGCACAGAGCCTGTCCCGACTCGTGGGCAGCTCCACCAACCCCCCCCCCAACCCCTTGGAAGTGGCAGAAGAGCAGCTCAGCATTCAAGTAATAGTGTTGACTTTTTGTTTTGTTGTCCTGGCAACGCTTCTCAAAATAATCAGCTTCTCTCATGAATAAAGTAAACTGACCATCTTGATCTTCCTGTTTTGTAGCTCAGTTGGTCTTACTGGGGTAGAAGAGAGAAGAGGTTTAATTTCCTCTTTTCACCTTCTCCCCCAGTCCCTCTTAAGCTACCAGACGTGGAGGGTTTTGAAGTTTCCAGAAAATGGAGGCTGTAGTCCTGAAATAATTTATCAGGCTGACAGGAGCTGCTTCTGCTAATTATAGTTAATTATATAGTTAATATATAACTGCTGTTGCCAGTGCTTGAATTATCCTTCTTGGTAATGCTCCTGTCTTTGCATCTACCTTGCGTAGTTGTACCCTTTAGTATCACTGTAGTTAAAAAAAAAAAAAAAAAAAAAAAAGGTACCACTTTCCCCGTGGTACTTAAGAGGCTGGAGGATCTTCGGGCAGTGACAAGGATGAGAAAATGCGTCCGTGGGGAAGCAGAGGGCAGGACCTGGAGCTCCTGCTCCCCCTCTGGCTGGACTGCTTTCCTAGGCCTTCCTCCTTGCTCGGGATGCTGAAATAAAACCATGCCTTACGCTAGGATTTGAAGCCTTTTATTTTATACATAAAAATGAGGCAGGGGGAGGTCCCCATCGTGGAGGCACTGCTTCCAGTTTTGCATCGCTCTTGTTCGAGGAATGTTCACGGCGGGGGGGGGAGACGCAGCAGCCAGGACTAGGGGGCCTTAACAATCAGGCTATCGTGGCAGGCCACCGCGATGCCCCCGATGAGGTTCAGGAACTCCTGGAAGTCCAGTTGCCCATCGCTATTCAAATCCAGTTTCTTCATCATCCTGTCCACGACCCCTGGCTTCTGGTTCTGCGAAAGACCAAAGAGAGGGGAATCGGTGTCTGCCTCGAGGCAGAGGTGCCCCTCGCTGAGCACCCCCAGCCCCAGGCGATGGACCTGCCGCTGCCCAGTTTGGTGCAGAGGGAGGTGGAATTCAGCCAGGCCAAGGTTTGTCAGGCCACGCTCCGGCTCCTGAGGCGAGCGAGCTCTTCCCAGTGCCCACCCCGCCGTGCCTGCGGGGCCAGAGGCTTGAACCGCCGTCCCCCATGCTCTGGGGGAGCCTCTTTTGGCCCGGATTTCACTCACCTTCGTGAAGGCGGCCAGCTCCGTGTTCATGAAGGCCAGGAACTCCCTCTTGGAGAGCTTGCAGCTGTCGCCTTCGCGCCCCGCGTACCGCTGGAACACGGCCAGCAGCGACTCGATGCAGCGCTCCGTCTCCGTGGGCTGCGGGAGCAAGAGCACGCTCAGGTCAGCGCTGCGGGGAGCTCTGGCCTCCCAGAAGAACAGCCTGGCTCTGTTCCTTGGAGGAAGGCTGGGCTTGGGGGGGGGGGGGG